CTATCATAAATGTGTACTCTGAAAAAATAAAGAAAATAATAAAAAAATATTATCCTAGAACACTTTTTTTTTTATGTCCGTGTCATATTCCAAGAAAAAAATTATTATTATTATTATTTGTTTATTTTTTATTTTTTTGTACTCACTTTTAGTGTCAGTATATATTTTTTTTTTTCTTAATTCATGTATTTTTGAATGATTATTTTGTCGTACGAGTTTATCATGGCACATTTTCACCACAACTTAATATGCACAAAATAAAGTGTATTTATACTATTTATTCATCTAAATATTATACAAATCAAGCCTGTAATATTTTTGTACAAAATATTCCATCATCTTAAGAAAAATAATGGCATTATTTTATTTTATTCTATCTGAGATGTCCCACAGTTTCGAGCCCTTTTTGTATATTCTCATTTATCTTATTGTTTCCATTATAATTTAATTCATATGATATTGTAATATTTCTCCTATAAATATCGGAATAGTTTTCAAGTTCTTATTCACGCATAAGTTCAGGTTTCTTCTTGTTACTATCAATAACTTGTATAAAATTTCTTAATTGAACCTCATATATTTTTTTTAGATTAGTAATCGAATAGTTTATTTTTATGAAGTAAAATTTAAGTCTCTTTACATCATAGTATATATGCATATCTGTTAATCTCCCATTTTCTATTTTAATTACTCTATGTGGTAAAGATAGATAAGGTTTATATTGATTTTTGCCACTATAATGATAATATTGGTTCCTTTGACAGTTTTGTAACTCTGTAACTGGTTAATAAAAGTCTTTATTGACCTTTTTGGAAAATAGAAGGACTAGTTATATGAAGAATACGTAGTTGGTCATGCACACACGAAAAAAAAAAAAAGATCAATTTTTTTTTGTTTGTATTTTTATAAAAAAAAATACAAAGACCGCCAGAAAAAAAAAAAAAATGAATTGGAAAAAGATTTGTTACCAATAAATAAAAACAAGAAAAAAAAAGAAAAAAAAATTTTTTTTTTTTTGGAAACAAAACATGTATTTAATGAATTTTTTTTGAGAAAATTTTATACATATAACAATAAAATTTTAATGTAATTAATATTCATATAATTAATTTGTATTTTCACTAATTGTTTATGTTTGTTAAATGAACAGTGATATATATTAATTTCTGAATGTAACTAATGACAAAGAAACAAGTAATTTACATTTAATTAATAATCAATGTTCAAGAAGGATTTAAATTTTTATTAAAAATAAGGATTTTTATTAAAGTAAATAAATGCCTATTGAAAAGAAAGAATGCTGAAGGAAGTAAATTACATAATTAAGGATCACTCGTTCAAAACATTTAAAAATATATATAAATACATCAAAACCGTAGAGGAAACTATACATGCTATTTATTAATTTGTTTTTTCAGTACTCCAGTAAAGTGACCGAACACCTACTTAATAAAACGGTATCCACAATTTAAGAAAATAAATATCATATATTTTGTTTTTTTTTTTTTATAATAATAACTTAAATGTTTTATGATAATATTTTCTTTATTATTTTCTTTTTTCTTATTATTAAAAAAAAAATTATAATCATAAAGCAAAAAATTAATTTTTTTTTTTTTTGAGAGGATGTAAGTAAATTATTATGGAATGTATATTTTTTTTAAGTTAAAATATAATATTAAAGAAATTAAATTTTGAAGTGTCGAGTAAATTAACTTAAAAAAAAACAATTAGTTTTTTAGTATTTGGTGTTGTTTAATAAAAATACAAATTTTAAATTGAAATCTTAATTAAAAAAAATTTAAGTCAAGAGAGTTAACTCCACATGCTCTTTTATAATTTGTTTTATGTTAGCGTAGTTATTGAACAGGCATTTAATAAATTATTATGTTCATGATAATTTTTTATTATTTTTTTTTGTTATTTTTTAAAAAAATATATTTTCTTTTAATTTTTGTTTTTTAACAAAATAATAATATGCTTCTTTTATAATATATAACATAAGCCATAATGAAATTTCATAATTCTTATGTAATATCATTTGAATAGTTCATATGACGACTCAAGTTTAAAATAATAAAGTTAATATTATGAGATAAATTGCTATAAAGTCATGTAAATATGGCACATTTACTTAAAAGAAAAATTTAATTTTCGTTATATTAAATAATTTAATTTACACAAAATTGTTAAATATTTATAACATAATTAATATTAGGATAAATATAATACAAAGAGGCCTCTATATATGTTCTTCAATAACATGATTATACAAAGCACCATAAAGTCTTTGAATGTTTAATTTATAAATAATATTTCCATAAAATATTCTTTTATGTCGTAGTTTTATTTACACTAATCAAGAATTTCAAGATTATATTACTAAATAATTACAAATAAAATTATATCATTCAAATATTTATTCTTAAAGAAGTGATATCAAGGAAGGCTTTCATAAAAATTTTTCTTATATATGGAAAACATTTTGTGAAGAAAAATATATACCCTTTAAATAAATATTTCAAAATATAGATTTAATTAGCAAATAATGTCCTTCATGCCACATGTGAAATACATTGTATTTTATTATGTTTGCAGTTGATTTTTTATTACCAGTTTTTATAAAACTATCGCCTAAAACTATATCTGTAATGAGAGCCATTAAGTTCATTGATGAAAATAATTATGCAAAGAATTAAATAAAATTAAGGAAAATGTACTAGTTGCAAAAAAGGTTATTGGTGTTAGCTATATTATTCCATTAGTATTAACAAAATATGAGAGAAATTACATGAGACGTTGTAGTAGAAATATATGATATCAATGATATATGTCCTATTCATATGAACTAATTAAAATTGAAAATAGAAAATGAAAAACTATACATATATATTATGGAAATAAAAAAATTTAAATTCTAAAAAAAGAAGCAAATTATTAATGAACAAAAAATGTAAAATATATAAAGCACAATTAATGATTCTAATAAAAGTCACAGAGGAAAATAAAGAAACAATTCCAAATTTTATGTATGAATTAAAATGAAAAAGTTATTTCTATATCTGAAAAAAAATTTTTATTTTATCTTATAACATGATTAATATTAAAAATAGTAAATAAATGAAAGCATATCAAAAAAACATGCTACTATAAAGAATGTTAAAGTACAAAAACAAAGTAATACAATTTCTTTTCTCATGATTGTTGAGTAAGGTTAATAAATAGTCTTATAAGTATATTTAAATTTTTAATAAGGTAAAAGAGAATGTATTAAATATTCACTTGTGCATGTAAGGTATTTGAGGAAAATAAGAGCATTAATATAATTATTCTTTCATTAGTGTAAAAAAAATTCGTACACTAGGATGAGAACACTGTAACATATATACTTAAATTATACTAAAAAATAAAATAATATTAAATTTCATTTTTTTTTATGATAGTATATTATCATTTAGTATTTTGTAAAACTGCAGGGATAACTATTAAATTGATATTTAATGATTAATTTATAAAAAATCGTATACTATGTCATATTTAATATAAATAAATTTTTTTTTTTTTGTTATTTTATGTCATTATTTAAGGAGTATATATAATTATCTGTATTAGATAATATTTAGAAAATTAAATAAGCAGATATTTGTTTGCTTTCTCTATGTGAATCTGATTATTTATTATAAAAATATTAAAACAACTAATTAATAAATAATTTATTATGCGATTAAAACATTATAATTAATAAGATAAAATAAAAATTTTTTTTTAAACACATTTTACATAAAAATTAAAAACAATGAATAAGGCTAAAATAATGTAAAATTTCAAATGTATATATTAATGAATGAATATAAATTATTATGTAGATTATTTAAAAACAAAACATTGCGATCAAATAAAAATTAAATATTAATATTAATAAGAAGATTAAATTAAAAAAACTGTATAATCATTTTTATTTTTAATAAAATTAAATTCAAACCCCATATGAAAGCATGTTATATTTAATTAAATATAATTAGAAAATATTTATATAATTATTTTAATTTTTACATTTATTTTACATAAAATATAATCTTATGTAAACATTTTAAAAGCAAATTTTTTTCTTAAAAACCTTCTAAAAGAAAATATAATATAATTCTGACTTTATTAAGGAAATATTATAATTATTTAAATAAATATTAATTTATAAAATAATATAAATATTTAAATTTATTTTGTTCATAATAATATATAATTTTTATATAAGTTTAATATTTTCTGAATGAAACTCATTAAAATAGTAAAAAAATTTACATTTATCACATTTATACTGTTACTTCTTATAAAATTAAAGTAATTCATATATCATTAGACTAAGCATTTCAAAAAAAAAAAACAAATTAAAACAAATAAGAATTTTAACATATATAGATTTAGAAAAAGAAATAAGTGCATTATTTTACGTTTAAATCATGCTATAATTAAACATTGTTTGTTTTTTATTAAAATATATTTTTTTTATGATTTAAAATTTACTGATTTATTATTATGAAATTTATATTTTCATTGAAAGAGAAAAATAAAATTGAAAAATCATAAATATAAAAGTTTTAATAACTATTACTTAATTCTTATTAAATGTAGTTAACCAGAAAAAATAAAAATATGTGTATGTATTATATTTAACATTTAAATATAAAAAGAGGCTTATGTATTTTTTAATTGTGTGAAATCCTAATTAAAAGAATTTTATTCTTTCATGTTATAATATATGCGTATTAATAAAAGAGAAACTAAAAAAAAATAAGAAAATTATAAAATATCTTACTATTTTAATTTAAAAAAAAAAATGTTTTATTTTATATAATGAACGGATTAATCCAGTTTTTTATAGAAAATTTAAATAAAAATGTTTTTTTAGTGTACAATTAGGAATCCGAAATGAAATTTCATTATAGATTATTCTTTATTTTTAAATATCTTTTAAAAATATAAAGAATTAAACAAATTTCAAAATGAAAATTCATTTATTTTTACTATATGATTTTTATTTTTTGGTAATACTATTTATAATAATTAAAAAAAAAAAAGTTTCATTGTTTTTTTTTTTTTTATTCTTTATAGATCACAATAGTAGTATATATGTACTTCTGTTGCATTGATCCATATTATAACTCAAAGAAGTATTTAATTTTTTTTTTTTTAAAAAAAAATATTACATATTCATAATAAAATTAATAATTCTTTTTCATATTTTATCAGATATAAAATCAAACTAATGAGACATACAGAAATACAATTATTAAGAAATTTAGCGGAATCATATGATTTTAAAGATGAGGATATTATAAATTCTTCAGGTCTATCAATGAAAGATGTACAATTATTATATAATACAAAAGAAGCAAAATATGAAAACACATTGGCTGAAGGCTATTTTGGAGATTCAAGAAATTTATTCGTAAACATAATAGATACAATATTTTTAAAAAATTATTACAAATGCTTAGAAAAAGAGAAAAAGCATATTAGATCTATACATAACACGTTAGAGACTACCAATTTCGAAGTGTTAAATTTTTTAAAAAGTTCAGTTCATGATGCAGAAGATCATATAAATACGGTATTTCAGAGACTTATCTCTTCTGATAAATCTCAATTGCTGAGATTTAATGATATAGAAATCACCTTAAGGAAAAACGGAGAGAACATTGATATATTAATTAATGAACAAGATGCACACGAATACTTAGAACAGCTAAAATTTAGTGGAGAGATTCCTTTAAGGTTAGAAAATTCCTTTAACTATTTTAACAAATTGAATGAAAAGAATGATTTATTTATTTCTAAACATAGTAATGGTATTTTTAGTTACTTATTTTATACTACTGATTATTTTAATTTACGTAAAAATATGTTTCCTCTTAAATATATTAATGGAGATGATTCTGATATCATTGATTACTATAGAAATGAAATGAAATATATTTTTAAAATATTTATTAATTCCATATTTTTACTTAATAAAAAAAGATCTACAACAATTATTTCTATAAAAGAAAACGTTAATGAATTTAATGAATTATTTTATAATATAAATAAAGCATTAGATCGTACAATAGAGGATAAAACACATAAATTATTTATGGTATTAAATAAAATTTTAAATGGAGACATAAAATGTATAATATCATTTATTTCACATATTCTTGAAATGAATCTTTCGATAAATAAGTTTAAACTGGATAAAATTAAAGAAAAATATAATAAGAAGTTATTTCAACATAAGATTTTAAATGAAATATATGATTTATTTTTACACGAAAAGGAAGAGATAAAAGAATCCTTAGATGAATTTAAAACCTACATAAAAGATATTTTTGGTTTCGATGTGAATAGTACGGGTATTAGATAAATGGTAAGCAAGCTTTATGGATCATTCGATATAAATAGTATCGAAAAGATATTTAAAGTTATTGTATTCACATTATTATGTAAGAAACAAATTAATGAGTATGAAGATTTTTTACAATTACTTAAAAATGAATCAATAAATAGAAAGTTATCTAAAAGAAAATTTATAGGTACCCACAGAAGAATAAATGAAAAAGTTTTATTTGTTCCAGAAAATAAATCTGAAAATTTAATATTAAAATATGCTGAAATTTATGAAAGAAATAATTTCATTAATAATATTAAGTGTTGTTTTATGGATTTACCTTCAGCACTATTGGACCTGGATGAAGGAATACATAAGTTTCTTATCTTTAGATTCTTAATATATTCATTAAATAATGAGTTGAATAAATCAGAAAAACATTATTTCAGTTCTAAAAAAAAAAAATTATTGAACAAAAATGTTATATTATATTTTCTCTATGACATTATGAACTTTGATAGTAGTTATGAAAAAAAATATAAATATAAATATAAATATACATATATTTATAGATTTATGTTGAATAAAATTGTGTTTTAAAATAAAAAGAAATATTAACATTATTATAATTACTTTCAAAACATTCATTTTTATTTTCATTCTGTTTTTGATTTATCTTTTTTATATTTAATTGCATATGAAATATAATAAGCAGTCAAGTTAATATATAGGATGTAGGGTAGCTTATACTATTTTATTTATTATAAACTTAAATATTGTATATAATACATGATCCTAACATAATTATATAACATATAACAAATAATTTAATTTACATTAAATTTAAAATTCCTTAATTATATGTTAAATAAATAGTTTTCTATTCCTGGTTCTCTAATATTTTATAACAGCGTCAATATTGTTTTATAAAAATCATTATGTAATTTAGTTAAAGCTTAATTATTTTATAACAAGTGTCCAAAATATAATACACATATATCCTTAATCAGGGTTAATTTTTTTTTTTATAAAATTTATTTTTTTTTATAATTGATCATTTATTATTAAATAAAAAAAAAAAAAATTATTTTTTATTTCTACGTTCTTTACTAATTTCTGAAATAATTAATGTGCTACATAATCTCTTTAAAAAAAAAAATAAGCATATGATGCACGTGCATAATATATAAATAATACTACATACCTCTTTTACACAATATTTAGATGAATATATACCATAAAAACATTTTATTTTGTGTATATTATATCGTTCATTTGTTTATTAACTGGATGTTCGGTGACTTTGCTAGAGTACTGAACAAATAAATTAATAAAGAGCATGTAGAACCTCCTCTACGATTTTGATTTATTTATATATACTTTTATATGCTTTGAACGAGTGATTCTTAATTATGTGATCTATTTTGTTCAGCATTCTTTGATTTCAATAGGCATTTATTTACTTTAATAAAAATCCTTATTTTTATTAAAAATTTAAATCCTTATTGAATATTGACTAATAATTAAATGTAACTTAATTATTTCTTTGTTATGAGTTATGTTCAGCAATTTAAATATATTGCTGTTGAATCAACAAACATAAGCAATTAGTAAGAATGCAAATTAATTAAATGAATATTAATTACGTAAAATTTTTATTGTCATATGTATAAAATTTTCTCTCACAAATTAAAAATATAAATATAATACAAATTAATCTCTTTTATTAAAACATTATTATGTTTTTAAGATCTTATTTTTATTGATACTAAATCTTACTCCAGATTTTTATTTTACCAATCTTTTCCTCCTATCAATTGAAATCATCTAAAAAAAATAAATATATTTTTTTTTTTTTTTTACGTATATCTATTTTTTTTAAAAGAAAAAAACTATAAAAAAAATTCCATAATTTTTTTTTTTTTTTTTTTTTTTTTTTTTCCCTTAAGCACAGCCAACTACATATTCTTCGTATAGCTAGTCCTTTTTATTACCAAAAAGATTAATGAAGCCTTTTTTTAACCATGCATATTATGTGCAATCATAAATGTGTACTCTAAAAAAAAAAAGAAAATAATAAAAAAATATTATCCTAGAACACTTTTTTTTTTATGTCCGTGTCATAATCCAAGAAAAAAATTATTATCATTATTTATTTTTTTTTAGTGTACTCACTTTTAGTGCCAATATATATTTTTTTTTCTTAATTTATGTACTTTTTGAATGATTATTTTGTCGTATGAATTTATGATGGCATATTTTCCCCACAACTTATTATGCACAAAATAAAATGTTTTTATTCTATTTATTCATCTAAATATTATACAAATGAAGCCTGTAATATTTTTGTACACAATATTCCATCATCTTAAGAAAAATAATGGCATTATTTTATTTTATTCTATCTGAGATGTCTCACAGTTTCGAGCTCTTTTTGTATATTCTCATTTATCTTATTGTTTCCATTATAATTTAATTCATATGGTATTGTAATATTTCTCCTATAAATATCGGAATAGTTTTCAAGTTCTTATTCACGTATAAGTTCAGGTTTTTTCTTGTTACTATCAATAACTTGTATCAAATTTCTTAATTGAACCTCATATATTTTTTTTAGATATATAACCTAATAATTTAGTTTATGCAGTAAAATTTGAGTCTCTTTACATCATTTGTTAATAAAAGGCATCATTAATCTTTTTGGTTATAAAAGGACTAGCTATATGAAGGATACATAGTTTGTTGTGCTAACGAAGAAAAAAATATATTTATTCTTTTTAAAAGAATTTTTAATCAGGGAAAGAAAAAATTAAAAATTGGTAAAATTAAAATCGAGAGTAAGATTTAGCACCAATAAAAATATGATCTTAAAAAGATAATAATGTTTTCATAAAAGAGTTTAATTTGTATTATATTTATATTTTTAATTTGTAAAAGAAAATTTTATAAATATGACAATAAAATATTCCGTAATTAATATTCATATAATTTATTTGCATTTTTACAAATTGTTTATGTTTGTTAATTAAACATCAATATATTTAAATTGTTGAACATATCTCATAACAAAGAAATAAGTAATTTACATTTAATTAATAGTCAATATTCAATAAAGATTTAAATATTTAATAAAAATAAGGATTTTTATTAAAGTAAATAAATGTCTAGTGAAATTAAAGAATGCTGAACGAAGTATAGCACATGATTAAGAATCACTCGTTCAAAGCATTTAGAAATATATATAAATACAACAAAATCGTAGAGGCGACTCTACATGCTCTTTATTAATTTGTTTGTTCAGTACTCTAGTAAATTCACAGAACACCCAGTTAATAAAACAGTATCTACTATTTATGAAAAAAAATATCATATATTTTTTTTTTTCAAATAACAATAACGTAAATGTTTTATGATAATTTCTTTTTTATTATTAAAAAAAAAAATATAATTAAAAAGCAAAAAGTTAATTTTTTTTTTTTCAGAGGTTGTATGTAAATTACTATGGAATGTATATTTTTTTTAGATTAAGATATAATTTTAAAGAAATCAAATTTTGGAGTGTCGCGTAAATTAACTTAAAAAAAAACAATTAACTAATTAGTATTAAATGTCGATTAATATAAATAAAAATTTTAAATTTAAATCTCAATTAAATTAAAATTAAATCAAGTAGAGTTTATTCCACATGCTCTTTTGTAATTTTTTTTATTCTAGAGAAGCCACTGAACAGGCATTTAAAAAATTATTATGTTAATGATAATTTTTTATTATTTTTTTTTCTTAAATTTTAAGAAAATATATTTTTTTTTAATTTTTGCTTTTTAACAAAATGATTGTGTACTTTTTGAATAATGTATAACTTGTACCAAAATTAAATTTTATAATTATCATGTAATATCATTTGAAGAGTTCATATGATGACTCAAGTGTAAAATATTAAAGTTAATATTATGAGATAAATTGTTATAAAGTGATTTAAATATGTCAACATTTACTTAAAAGGAAAAATTTTATTTTCGTTATATTAAATAATTTAAATTAGAAAAAATTGATAAATATTTATAATATAATTAATATTATGATAAATATAATACAGAAAGACTTCTCTATATATTCTTTACTAACTTAACTATACAAAGCTCCATAAAGTTTTAGAATGCTTGATTTATAAATAATATTTCCATAAAATAATCTTTTATGTCGTAGTTTTATTTACACTCTTCAAGAATTTCAAGTTTATATTACTAAATAATTACAAATAAAATTATATCATTCTAATGTTTATGCTTAAAGAAGTAATATCACGGAAGACTTTCATAAAAATCATTATTATATATGGAAGGCTTTGTGTGAACAAAAATATATATTCTTTGAATAAATATTTCAAGTTAAAGAATTAATTAGTAATAATGTCCCTCAAGTCAAACATGAATAACATCGTATTTTATTATGTTTGCAGTTGATTTTGTATTCCCTGTTTTTATAAAATTATCGTCTAAAACTATATCTGAAATTAGTGCCATTTATTAAGTTCACTGAGGGAAATAATTATATGATGAATTAAATAAAATCAAAGAAAGTCTACTAGCTACATAAAGGTAATTCATTTTAGCAAAAGTATTTCATTTGAAATGATAAAAGATGAGAGAAATTACATGAGATATTATAGTAGAAATATCTCAAATGAATGTTATAGGTCATTTTCATATGAACTAATTAGAATTGAAAATAGAATATTAAAAACAATACATATATATTATAGAAATAAAAGAATATAAATTCTAACTAAAGAACCAAATTATTAAGCAACAAAATATATGAGATATATATAACATAATTAATGAGTCAAATAAAAGTCTCAAGGGAAAATAAAAAAAGAACTCCAAATTTTATATATGAATTAAAATGAAAAAGTTATTTCTATATCTGAAAAAGAGTTTTTCTTTTATTTTATAGAATGATTAATATTAAAAATAGCAAATAAATGAAAGTATACCAAAAAAACATGCTACTATAAAGAATGTTAAAGTACAAAAACAAAGTAATACAATTACTTTTCTCATGATTGTTGAGTAAGGTTAATAAATAGTATTATAGGTATATTTAAATTTTTAATAAAATAAAAGAGTATGTATTAAATATTTACTTGCGTGTATAAAATATTTGAGAAAAATACAAGCATTAATATAATAATTCTTTAATTTTTTGTAAAGAAAATTCGAAAACTAAGATGATAACGCTACAACACATATTATTAAATTATACTATAAAATAAATGAATTTTAAATACCTTATTTTTTTTATGATAGTATATTATTTTCATTTAGTGTTTTTGTAATACAGCAGGCATAACTAAGAAATTGATATTAATTGTTTAATTTATGAAAAATCGTATGCTTTGTCATATTTAATATAATATAAATTTTTTTTTTTTTGTTATTTTATGTAATTATATAGGAGTATATATAATTATTTGTAATAGCTAATTTTTAGTAAATTAAATAAGAAGATATTTTTATTAGTTGATGTGTGTGAATCTGATTATTTATTATAAAAAATATTAAAACTATTTAATAAATAATTTATCATGTGATTGAAACATTAAAATTAATAAGATAAAATAAAAATTTTTTTTTTAAACTCATTTTACATAAAATTAAATAACAATAAATAAGGCTAAAATAATATAAAATTTCAAATGTATATATTTATGAGTGAATATAAATATTATATAGATTACTTAAAAACAAAATATTGCGATAAAATAAAAATTAAATATTGATATTAATAAGAAGATTAAATTAAAAAAACTGTATAATCATATTTTTTTTTAACAATATTAAATTCGAACCCCACATGAAAGCATGTTACATTTCATAAAATAAAATTAGAAAGAATTTATATATTTATTTTAATTTTTATATATATTTTTTATAATCTATAATCTTATGTAATCTTTTTAAAAGCAATTTTTTTTCTTGAAAACATTCTAAAAGAAAAAATGATTGAATATTGACTTTATTGAGGATATATTATAATTATTTATTTAAATATTTTTTTTTAAAATAATATACATATTTTAATTCATTTTGTTCCTAAAAATATTAAAATTTATTATAATGAAAGTTTAAAATTTTCTAAATAATATTCATTAAAATAGTAAAAAAAATTACATTTATCACAATTTTACTGTTTCTTTTCATGCAATGAAAGTATTAAGTATATCATTAGACTATGTTCTTAAAAAAAAAAAAAAAATTAAAACAAATTAGAATTTTAACATATATAGATTTAGAATAAGCAAAAAGTACTATATTTGACATTTAAAGCATGCTAATGTGAGATCTTGTTTGTTTTTTATTAAATATATTTTTTAATGATTTAAAATTTACTGTTTTATTCTTATGGAATTTATATAAGCATTGAAAGGGAAAAATAAAACCAAAAAATCATAAATTTAAAAGTTTTAATAATTATTACTTAATTCTTATTAAATGTAGTTAACTAGAAAAAAAAAATATGTATATGTATTATATTTAACATTTAAATATAAAAAGAAACTTATGTATTTTTTAATTGTATTAAATCATAATTAAAAGAATTTCTTTCGTTTATGTTATAATATATGAATATTAATTAAAGGGAAACTAAAATATATTAAGAAAATTATAAAATATCTTACCACTTTAATTTAAATAAGAAAATGTTTTATTTTATATAATGAACAGATTAATCTAGCATTTTATAGAAAATTTAAATGAAAATTTTTTTTTTAGTATACAATTAGGAATCCGAAATGAAATTTCATTATAGATTATTCTTTATTTTTAAATATTTTTTAAAAATATAAAGAATTAAACAAATTTTAAAATGAAAATTCATTTATTTTTACTATATCATTTTTATTTTTTGGTAATATTATTTAGAATAAATAAAAAAAAAAAAACGTTTCATTATTTTTTTTTTTTTATTTTTTATAGATCACAATAGTAGTATATATTTACTTCTGTTGCATTCATCCATACTATAAATCAAAGAAGTATTAAATTTTTTTTTTTAAAAAAAAATATTATATATTCATAATAAAATTAATAACTCTTTTTTATATTTTATCAGATATAAACTCAAATTTATAAGGCATATAGAAATAAAATTAGTAAGAAATTTAGCGGAATTATATGATTTTAAAGATGAGGATATTATAAATTCCACAGGTCTTTCAATGAAAGATGTACAATTATTATACAACAGAAGAGAATCAAATTATGAAAACACATTGACTGAAGGATATTTTGGAGATTCAAGATATTTATTTGTAAAATTAATAGATGGAATATTTTTAAAAAATTATTTCAAATGCTTAGAAAAAGAGAAAAAGCATATTAGATCAATATATAACAGTTTAGAGACTACCAAATATGAAGTATTAAATTTTTTAAAAAGATCACTTGACGATGCAGAAGATCATATAAATACGGTATTTCAGAGACATACCGCTTCTGATAAATCTGAATTATTAAAATTTAGTGATGTTAAAATCACCCTAAACCACAATGGAGATAACATTGATATATTAATTAATGAACAAGATGCACATGAATACTTAGAACAGATAAAATTTAGTGGAGAGATTCCTTTAAGGTTAGAAAATTCCTTTGACTATTTTAGCAAACTGAATGAAAAGAATGATATATTTTTTTCTAAACTTAGTAATGGTATTTTTAGTTACAATATTTATACTATTATTTATTTAATATTTCGTAAAAATATGTTTCCTCTTAAATATGTTCATGGAGATAATTCTGATATCATTGATTACTATAGATATGAAATGGAAAATATTTTTAAGGAATTTACTAATTCCATATTTTTACTTAATAAAAAAAGATCTACCACAATTATTTGTATAAAGGAAAACGTTAATGAATTTAATGATTTATTTAATAATATAAATAGAGCCTTAGATCGCACAATAGAGGATAAAACACATAAATTATTTATGGTATTAAATAAAATTTTAAATGGAGACATAAAATGTATAATATCATTTATTGCATACATACTTGAAATAAACCTTTCGAAAAATAAGTTTGAATTAGATAAATTAAAAGAAGAATATAAGGAGATTTTATTTAAACATATGATTTTAAATGAAATATGTGATTTATTTTTACAAGAAAAAGAAGAGATAAAAGAATCCTTAGTTGAATTTAAAACCTATATAAAAGATATTTTCGGTTTCGATGTGAATAATACGGGTATTAGATCATTGGTAAGCAAGCTTTATGGATCAGTTGATATAAATAGTATCGAAAAGATATTTAAAGTTATTGTATTTTCATTATTATGTAAGAAACAAATTAATGAGTATGGAAATTTTATACAATTACTTAAAAATGAATCGAAAAATAGAAGGATAGATAAAAAAAAATTTATAGGTACCCACAGAAGAATAAATGAAAAAGTTTTATTTATTCCAAAAAATAAATCTGAAAATTTAATATTAAAATATGCCGAAATTTATGAAAGAAATAGTTTTATTAATAATATTGAGAGTTGCTCTAGTCATTTATCTTCAGTACTATGCGACATGGATAGAGTATTACGTAAGTTTACTTTCTTTAGATTCTTAATAAATATGTTAAACAATGAGTTGCATAAATCAGAAAAACATTATTTCAGTTCTAAAAAAAAAAAATTATTGAACAAAAATGTTATATTATATTTTCTGTATGAAATTATAAACTTTGATAGTAGTTATGAAAAAAAATATAGATATACTTATATTAGAAATTTGTGTTGAAAAAAATAGTATTTACAAACAAAAAAAAATATGTACATTATTATAATTACTTTTGAAACATTCATTTTTATTTTAATTTTGTTTTTGATTTATCAATTTGATATTAAATCACATATGAAGTACACTAAAGTGTCAAGTTAATGAATTGGATGTAGGGTTACCTATACTATTTTATTTATTATAAAAATAAATATTGTATATAATTGATTTATTAACTGGATGTTCGGTGACTTTGCTAGAGTACTGAACAAACAAGTTAATAAAGAGCATGTAGAACTTTCTCTACGATTTTGATGTATTTATATATACTTTTATATGCTTTGAACGAGTGATTCTAAATTATATGATCTATTTTGTTCAGCATTCCTTGATTTCAATAGGCATTTATTTACTTTAATAAAATTCCTTCTTTTTATTATAAATTTAAATCCTTATTGAACATTCATTATTAATTAAATGTAAATTACTTGTGTCTTTGTTATGAGTTCAGTAATTAGTATATATTGCTGTTGAATTAACCAACATAAACTATCAGTAACAATACAAATTAATTATATAAATATTAATTACGTGAAAATTTTATTGTCATATGTATGAAAATATCTCTCACAAATTAAAAATGTAAATTCTATGAAAATTAAACTCTTTTATATGTAAATATCTTTTATCTGTTTAAGATCTCACTTTTATTTGTACTAAATTTTACTCCATATTATTACTTACCAATTTTCTCTCTTTCATTAAATCTCTCCAAAAAAAATAAATATATTTTTTTTAGGTATTTCAATTTATCAAAAGAAAAAAAACAAAATAAACGTAATAATTTTTTTTTTTTTTTTTTTTTTTTTGCGTGTGTATGACCAACTAGGTATTCTTCATATAGCTAATCCTTTTTATTGCCATTAAGATTAATAATGCCTTTTATTAACCAATAATACTGATCCTAATTTAAATATATAATATATAACAAATAATTTACATTACATTAAATTTAAAATTCCTTAATTATATTAATAAATAATTTATTATTCTTATTTCTCTAAAATTTTAAAACAGCGTCAATATTGTTTAATTAAAATTATTATATAATTTTGTTATAGCATATATATTTCATTACAAGTATCCAAAATATAAGACACATTTATCCTTAATCAGAGTTAATCTTTTCTTGATAAAATTTATTTCTTTTTATAATTAGTCATTCATTATTAAATCAAAAAAAAAAAATTTATTTTTTATTATACGTTCTTTACGCATTTTTGAAATACCTAATATGCTACATAATCTCTTAAAAAAAGAAATAAGCATATAAAGTACTTACATAGTATATAAATAATACTACATACCTCTATTACACAATATTTAGATGAATAAGTACAATAAAAATATTTTATTTCGTGTGTATTATATTGTGCATATAATGTGCAATCATAAAGGTGAATACTAAAAAAAAAGAAAGTAAAAAAAAAAAATATTATCCTGGAACACTTTTTTTTTTAAGTCCGTGTTATATTACAAAAAAAAAAATTATTATTTTTTATTTTTTTTTTATAGTGTACTCATAGTGCCAGTATATATTTTTTTCTTTTTTTTTTTTTTTTTCTTAATTTATGTACTTTTTGAATTATTATTTAAACATTATTCAAAACATTATAAGAAGAAATATATATCAATAAAATCTATATTCAATGAGTATTTAAATTTTTAATAAAAAAAAAGATTCTTATTAAAGTAAATAAATGCCTATTGAAAACAAAGAATGATCAACGAAGTAGGCAGCATAAAATACAGTTTAATTATTGATTGCATTTAAAATTATGCAAAAACTCATTAAATTAATAGAGAAAATTCTACATACTCTTTATTAATACGTTTGTTTAGTACTCTATGAAAGTCATTGAACAGGCATTATGTAAAATAAGAATCTACCCTATTTTTTATTTATTTAATAAAAATACCTATTTTTATTAAAAATTTAAAGCCTCATTTATTATTTATTCTAATTAATATATTTTATTTATAGTTTTGTTTAATGTGTAACCTTTCAAATCTACTGATATCAAATTAGTAAATATAAGTAATTAATGAAATGCGAATTAAATTATGTAAATATTATCACCATGAAAAAATTTTTTTTTTGTATATAAAATAATCTCTTAAATCCAAAATAAAAATTCACTAAAAAAGAAAATTCTTTATTCAATAAATCACTTTTGCATTTTTCAACAAACATTCTCCATCATCCAAAATATTTCTTTTTTTTTCAAAAAAAATAAATATCTTTTTTATTTATTTGATTTATAGAAAAAAAAAAAAATTATAAACCAATTTTTCTTTTTATTTTTTTATTTTTCGTTTGCATGGCTACTGTGTATTTTCTATATAGATAGTTATTTTCTTTATCAAAAAGGTTAATAAATTCATTTATTAACAACACAACTAATAATTTATTTTCCATACAGCTATTACTTTTTATTCTCAAAAAGTTTAATAGTGCCTTATGTTTACCAGGTGTATAAATAAAAAAAAAAATGTATATAGAATAGAATGTAAAAATAATTATATAATTTTCTTATGAATGTTATTTCTAGAGTTATACGACGAAATATTTGCATTCCTATATATGAGTTTTTCTCTCAATATTTACGTGTATTAACAAAGAATAATATATATTTTTTTCAACCATATCACAACTGAAAACAAGTTAAACAATATTATTTATTCATCACACTGAGAAACATATACATTAAATGTCATGTATACCATTCATATATATATAATCTTACATCTTCGAAATCAGAAGGAAAATTACTTTTATATGGTATATTTCTTGATAAAATACATCACGAACTTTGTAAAGTATTCGCAACTTCTTTACAAGATGAGATGATATAAAAATATTCACGTTCTACTGATAATTGTTTATAATATAGTGCCATGTAATATGGAAGATGATTTTCATAATATATAGATCTAATAATCTAATAAGCTAAACTACTTTGAATTTCAACAACATGTTCAAATACTTAATTAAATTATGTCACATTTAATATCTATTTATATAATTTTCCATTACTAATAAGTACAATTCGAATAATACTTTTATAATTAATGAAAATTATTATTTTAGATAACTTATTATAATAATAGAATCTTTCACAAAATATAACTATTTAAAATAATTACATTTCTACAGTACTCCTTTTTCGTTAAACATAATTCAACTTGTTTCATACGGAATACATAACTATTGTCTGAAGAGTGTCATTATATACATGATTAACAAGAGGCTTTATTAATCTTTTTGGAAAATAAAAGGACCGGTTATTTCAAGAATACGTAGTTGGTAATGCACACACAAAAAAAAAAAAAAAAAAATTTATTGGAAAAAGATTTGTTACAAATAAATAAAAATAAAAAAAAAAAAAAAAAGAATTTTTTTTTTGGAAACGATGTATGCTTTTAATTAATTATATAAAAGAAAATTTTATACATATAACTGTAAAATTTTAATGTAATTAATATTCATATAATTTTTTTTGTATTGTCACTAATTGTTTATGTTTGTTAATTCAACAGCAATATATATTAATTACGGAATGTAACTCATAACAAATAAACTATTAATTTACAATTAATTAATAATCAATGTTCAATAAGGATTTAAATTTTTAATAAAAATTGGGATTTTTATTAAAGCAGATAAATGCCTATTGAAAAGAAAGAATGCTGAAGGAAGTAGATTACATAATTATGGATCACCCGTTCAAAACATTTAAAAATATATATAAATACATCAAAATCGTAGAGAAAGTTCTACATGCTGTTTATTAACTTGTTTTCTCAGTACTCGAGTAAAGTCACCGAACACCTAGTTAATAAAACGGTATCCACAATTTAAGAAAATAAATATCATATATTTTTTTTTTTTTTTTGCATATAACGATAAGGTAAATGTTTTATGATTATATTTTTTTTTTAATAATAAAAAAAAAGAAAATAATAAAAAAAATATAATCATAAAGCAAAAAATTAAATTTTTTTTTTTGAGAGGATGTTAGTGAATTACTATGGAATTTATATTTTTTTTAAGTTAAAATATAATATTAAAGAAATCAAATTTTGAAGTGTCGAGTAAATTAACTTAAAGAAAAACAATTAGCTAATTAGTATTTGGTGTTGTTTAATAAAAATGCAAATTTCAAATTTAAATCTTAATTAAAAAAAATTTAAATCAAGTAGAGTTAACTCCACATGCTCTTTTATAATTTGTTTTATGCTAGCGTAGTCATTTAACAGACATTTAATAAATTATTCTGTTCATGATAATTTTTTATAATTTTTTTTTGTTACTTATTAAAAAAATTTATTTTTTTTTAATTTTTGTTTTTTAACAAAATGATTATATGCCTTATGAATAATGTATAACATAAGCCATAATGAAATTTCATAATTCTTATGTAATATCATTTGAATAGTTCATATGACGACTCAAGTGTAAAATAATAAAGTTAATATTATGAGATAAATTGCTATAAAGTCATGTAAATATGGCAACATTTACTTAAAAGAAAAATTTAATTTTCGTTATATTAAATAATTTAATTTACACAAAATTGTTAAATATTTATAACATAATTAATATTATGATAAATATAATACAATGAGGCCTCTGTACATGTTCTTTACTAACATGACTATACAAAGCACCATAAAGTCTTTGGATGTTTAATTTATAAATAATATTTCAATAAAATATTCTTTTATGTCGTATATTAATTTACACTTATGAAGAATTTCAAGATTATATTACTAAATAATTATAAATAAAATTATATCATTCAAATATTTATTCTTAAAGAAATGATATCAAGGAAGGTTTTCATAAAATTTTTTCTTATATATGCAAAACATTGTGTGAAGAAAAATATATACCCTTTAAATAAATATTTCGAAGTATAGATTTAATTAGTAATAATATCCGTAATGTCACACGTGAA